AATTATTTCGAGATGGTAATAACGAGACAAAACTCTGCGTCCCAAATACTTAGATGCAGAATAAATACGAACTGAACAATTTATAATCGTTGCCCAGCTGGTATTTATTGTTTTCGAGTGTCTATAATGAAATTGTCGCAAAAAAAGATGTCGCTTATGAATAAATATGACGGAAATACCGTCATTTTGAAGTTAAAATGATGAAGAGAAGGAAGCACCAGATTTTTTTTTCGTGATGTAAGTATGTGAAAGGATATTGATGATAAGACGAAAAGAAAGATGTGGAGAAAAAGAAACAGACTAAGAGAAATTTATATATATACACACATATGTATAACAATACACAGCAAACACACAATCTCTCTCTCTCTCTCTCTCTCTCTCTCTCTCTCTCTCTCTCTCTCTATATATATATATATATATATATATATATATATATATATACATGGCTACCTACCTACCTACACAACTGTATGTGTGTATATATATGCATATATATACACACACACACACACACACACACACACACACACACACACATATATATATATCCATATATATATATATATATATATATATATATATATATATATATATATATATATATCCATATATATGTATGTACATGTATATATATGTATGTTTCTGTATGTGCCGCAGAAAAAAATGAGGTGAAACCGACGGAAAAATCGAATTACCTTTGTTGCACAAACAGCGATGCTCCGAAGACAAAACCCGAGCAACAAAATGCCACGACCGTCCCTAGGATCACAATTATTTCGAGATGGTAATAACGAGACAAAACTCTGCGTCCCAAATACTTAGATGCAGAATAAATACGAACTGAACAATTTATAATCGTTGCCCAGCTGGTATTTATTGTTTTCGAGTGTCTATAATGAAATCGTCGCAAAAAAAGATGTCGCTTATGAATAAATATGACGGAAATACCGTCATTTTGAAGTTAAAATGATGAAGAGAAGGAAGCACCAGATTTTTTTTTTCGTGATGTAAGTATGTGAAAGGATATTGATGATAAGACGAAAAGAAAGATGTGGAGAAAAAGAAACAGACTAAGAGAAATATTATATGGTGAATGGTGAACGAGAAAATGGAATATATGTGTGCATGTGTGTTTTTTTCTGTATGTATGTATATATGTACATGTATCCATGTATATATATATATCTATATATATGTATGTACATATACATAGACTTATATATATATATATATATATATATATATATATATATATATATATATATATAAATATATATATATATATATATATATATATATATATATATATACATATATATATATATATATATATATATATATATATATAGAGAGAGAGAGAGAGAGAGAGAGAGAGAGAGAGAAGGAGAGAGGGAGAGAGGGAGAGAGGGAGAGAGAGGGAGAGAGAGGGAGAGAGAGGGAGAGAGAGGGGGAGAGAGAGAGAGAGAGAGAGAGAGAGAGAGAGAGAGAGAGAGAGAGAGAGAGAGAGAGAGAGAGAGAGAGAGAGAGAGAGAGAGAGAGAGAGAGAGAGATGCAAATATGTATGTATATGTGTGTATACATATATGTAAATGTGTATGTGTGTATGTATGTATAGATATATATCTATATACCTATCTGTCTATCTATCTATCTATCAATCTATATATGTATATCTATATCTATATCTATCTATCTATCTATCTATCTATCTATCTATCTATCTATATATATATAATAAACAGATAAATAAATAAATACACACATATTCGCTAATCCGAGGAGCTTCGGGAAGGGTTGTGTTCGAATCCTATGGTCGTGACTTCACATTTATACGATTATACTGGTTATCGTAACTTGTCACAGTTGTCTGACTCTTCAAATAAATATTAATTTCAAAGCGTGACGTTTCCGTGACGAATGAAGATTACTCACTAGATTATTACAAAACATTCTCAAAAAAAAGGGGGAAAAACGAATTTAATTACTGTTTCACAACTAAACCATTCGGCGGAAAAACACGCTGTTATTAAAATAAAAATTGTTTATAAATAGTTATAAGCTCCTCAATTAACCAAGTTTTGGAAAACCATTTTCTTTCTTTTTTTTCAATTCTGATAGGCAAGAACAGAATATCAAATATCATTCGTTCTTGTACGGTTATTTTTCAAATTACAAAATAACAAAATTTAGTCAGTTGATTATTTCCATCTTTATTCTTATTATTTCCATTATAATAATAATAATCATAATAATAATTATTATTATCGTCATACATATTTACCATTCTCTATAACATAATTATAACTATTATCATTACAATTTCTGTTACCATAATATAGACTATAAAACTTAAATATTAATTCCAAAGCAAAACACTCACCTTCTAAAATAATAATTAAATTCCTTGTCGACGTTTGTAATGATAAGCTTTCATTTCGTACGCAGTGGTTATTATTACCGTTAATTAAATTTTTTGATAGACCTATGTATGAAAATTTTAACAATACTGGTAAATAACACTTATGCAGAAGGCGATAGTGATTACAATGGATAAGAAAAAAAATATGATTATTAATGTAAAATCGAAATAATAAAACTAATAATGGTATTGTTAATAAGAGCGACGGAAACGAAATAAGGTAGCGATATTGCTCGTAATTTCATTAAAAGTAATAATATGAAGTAATCGTACGTATTTTTTTTTAAACTAAGTTCGACTGAAACAATCTTTATCGGCTATTGAGAGACATAATAATTCATAACTAAAAAAATACAATTTATACAATGATGCCATATAAATTCCATCATTTCGAAAGTGTATCGCTCATTCTGAAAATCTTACCAGGAAAATACCTATCACGACCTATTTTTTTTTTCTTTTCCATTGGGTGGGTGGGTGGGTGGGGGTGGGGGGTCGGGAGTATTACAGCGGGGCCCGGAATCCGGCGTGCAAAGACCGCAGAGTTTTAACGCCGCTGTCGGGGAGGGAAAAAATGCATCACTCCAGAAAGACCATTATATAATTAAAAGTGTGATAAATATATCTTCCGTAGTTGTTATTATCGTTGCTACCATTTCAATTATTATTACCATTATCATTATTATTATTTTTATTATTATGTCATTTCTATCACTCTCACTATAACTATAATTACTCTCTTTTCTAACGCGCATGGTCATAACTACGACATAGATCGTTGTAACCTATATCAATATTCTCATTAATATTAATATTAATAACACAATTCCATGTATATCCATATTTATATATACATATCTAATATCATCCGACCGCAATTTATACACATTATATACATCGATTATCACATGACATTAATTATCAATATTCCCGACTCTCACCACTGAGAAAAAAGTAAATAAATATTTGTACATTATCTTTCCTTTCTCCCAAAGTTCATTTCAGCGGCGAGTTCTGAAACCGTTTTCGAAGATTTCGGAAATGGCGGATTTTTTTCCCCAGAATACTGAAATAAATAAGTTATACACTGACGTGTTAATTACTTTCGCTTCGACTACTATTACTAGAGACCTTTTAACTGTACTTTCCATCACCTCTGATCGTTATCGGCGTTTTATCATTACTAGCAGTAATGTCGATAGTATGGATATCAAAATCTTTTTCATAATCACAAAACGACGCTTTACCAAAACAAAATAATAATAACAATCATACGAAAAAAAAAATCCAAAACATATATATAAAAAAAAAGGTTTCTCTCAAATATAAACTCTAGTATCACTCTCTGATGTGAAAATTTCGATGAGTGTCAGGCAGTGTATTATCACAACCAGCGTCGGGGGTTTCTCTTTACCTGCCGGAGTGTACTGATTATCCTTTCCGCGACCTTCTCGCTACCGCTTATCATGTCGAGAGAGAGAGCGAAAGAGAGCAAGAAAGAAAGAAAGAGAAAGAGAGAGAAAGAGAGAGAAAGAGAGAGAGAGAGAGAGAGACAGAGAGAGAGAGAGAGAGAGAGAGAGAGAGAGAGAGAGAGAGAGAGAGAGAGAGAGAGAGAGAGAGAGAGAGAGAGAGAGAGAAACGTCTTCACTCTACATTTCTCTTTTCTCTGATTATAATAATAGGGAAGAAGAGAAAGAACAATAATAAAAGTAAGACGAAGTCGGAGAATACAAAGAGTTAGAACGTCGAATTCGCATTTCTAACAAGCGTGTGCGGATAGGGATGTAATAGAAGATCCGCGAAGAAGTAAAAGAAGAGAAGACGACGACGAATGGAGGAGGAGGAGAAGGAGAAGACGACGACGAAGAAGGCCTCATCCATTGACATTTACACCCCGATCAGGGCGCGCTAATGGAGTCTAGGCGAAGCTATCGATTCAACCAAAACCGTTCACGGAACACTATCGATGTCAACTTTGAGCAGGCTCGACGGTGGGGGAGAGAGCTACGGATCCCGCCCGCCCGCCCGCCCTCGTCCTCTCCTAACCGCCCACACGCCCCTCTCTCCGCCTTTCTGCCCGCCCGCTGTTCGAAGCCGATCTCCTTGAAAACGCTTGATCAGAAAACCGTGTTGTTGTTTTTTTTTAACCCATCTCGTTCGTTATTCTGTTACGTATTACTTACAACGAAGACGAGAAGATAAGCGGCAATGTATGCCATAAAGAGCGTGGGTCGAAATCGATCTGCCATTTTTATCATCATCGTTACTTCCCTATCGTAATTTTTGTTGTTGCTCTACATGCGTTTTGTGCTGTGTGATCGCTTACACATTTAATCTCTAGGATGCGAGACTGAAAACAAGCCGGGCGTGCTTGTGGCTTTTTAGTCGCTTGTACTACACGGCATGTCAAGGGGAGCGACATATCGGCATGCGAAAACTATAGACTTGTGACCTGAACACATCTTTGGTACTGAGATACAAAGCTTAATTAAATTCGCTGTTATACAGATGAAATCAGCTAATTTTCCGTTCGGAACTAGGTTAGACCGCATTCAGAAAATCTTTCGCTGTGACGTACCTTGTCTGCGGTCTGCATGAGCTGCGTCTGCTGGATGAGGTTGACCTGCAGCTGCTCTTGTAGCTGCTGCAGGATCTGCTCCAGCTGTTTGCGACCCAACTCAGCCAGCTGCTGTTGCTGCTGCTGTTGATGGAAAGATACGGATTATCATGTGTTTGCTAGACACATGCACACAAAGAAGTGGGTAATTCATTAATATCAATGTGGGAAATCAAACAAGTACGTGTGTAGTGATAAATCACTCTCCTGGATCTGTAGCTCATGAATAAAATTAGCGCCATGATTCACCTACGCGCAGAAGTAAGTCCTTTTCCCTCCCTCACATGCAACGTCGGTCTTCCCTCTACTGCATGATCTGTTCACATGCAAGTCTGGCGCCCCACCCACATCACCTCCACCTGCTTGCTACTTTGACACCCGCTCATAACGCCCCTCTCCCTCTCCCCTCGCTCTTTCACTCCCTTCTCCCCTCACTCGGACCCCCAACCCTCCGCGCTTCCCTGGGCCCACTCCCCTACCCCCTGTTTCCCTCCGGGATATTTGTAACATCAACTCCTGTGTACTCACGGCGGCGCGGAGGGACGCAGAGAGGGAGGGACGGAGAGAGGATGGGGGTGTCTTATCCCTCCCCCCCCCTACCATTCCCTCCACCCATTCTCGGTCTACCATCCCCCTGTATTTAACGCATGTTGTTTTATTTCCATATCAATGTGGAAATGATTACTTCGTGCCACGCTCTTTGGTGATCAATCTCTCTACGGCCGTTCTTGTATATCAGCATACAACCATTCACCGTTTAATTTGCTATTTTCCTAAGAAATATACAGCAAAGAAATAAATAAACATATCAGCCAACTTCAAATGTTTACCGAGAACTCAAGCTTAATTTAGTTGAAGTCCCCAAAAAAGTACAGCGGGAGCGGAGACGGAGTGACCACGGCCGCGATCACCTACCTGTTGGATATTCATGCATTGCGATTATTATTTATCTTTTTTTCTCTCTCTCTCTTTCTCACGTTCTCACTTAGTTTACATAAGTGTTGTTTCTCTCGGATTCATTTTCTCTCTCTCTCTCTCTCTCTCTCTCTCTCTCTCTCTCTCTCTCTCTCTCTCTCTCTCTCTCTCTCTCTCTCTCTCGCTTCTTCCTCTTTCACCAATATATTTACTTCCCACAATCGTTCGTGTTTGTCGCTTATTTACTGATGCCCGGCGTTCGTGCTAGTGCTAGTGGCTACTCCAGCACGTTCCCCTCTTTACACGCTTTGCTGATCCTCTTAAAATACATGTAAGTACACACACCAACCCGGCCAAGTGGACAGCAAAATAAACTCAAATTTGTGCGATATCTGTTTCGGCCGAAGAGAGAAGGGGGGGGGGGGAGAACGGGGGAGTTAGATCTGGAATATTTGGGGGGGAGGGGAGGGGAGGGGAGGGGGGGGGAGGTAAGGGTGTATGTAGGAAGGGGGGTGGGGAGGGTAAATAAATAAGAAAACACGAAAAGAGAACAAGAAAAAATGAGCTATGACTTCCTACACCGGCCCGTTATCGCGAAACTCCACGCACGCTGTTTCACACAACTTCCCGTCCGTGGCGACTCTACAGCTCCTTTGCCTCTCCCTGCTTGCGCTTAAACCCCCCCAAAAAATGGAAATCTAACAGCGTATGTAAATTACTCTGTTACTCTAAGGAGGCAGCCTTGAGAAGTGAGCTGTCTTCGTTGAAATAATGACAATGACGATAAATAACAACAATAACAAAACAACAACAACAATAATAATGTGTTTGTTTCCATTAACTTACGTGAAACAGATCCATTGGGGTTTCTAACGCTAACATCGGGGAGGTTTTAATCTAAGCGTCTTCGAAATCTGGCCTTGTCTTCTTGTTTTCTTCTATCGTCAAGTCTTCAACTCGGCGTGGAGAGGATTCATCAATCCCATCAATTTCTTGGTCGGTTTTGATGTCTAATGTATCGAAAATAAAATCAAATGGACCGCTGATTGGAATATTAGCGGTGACGAGTCAATGACAAACTTCACAAAACCGTCACACGAGGGGAAAGAACTGTTCGTCAGCAAATATATTTTTCTTTCTTTTCTCTTCGTTTTTTTTTCTCTCTCTCTTACTCTTTCTCACACGACGTAACAATGTCTTCGGAACACTTTCGAACGAGGGCTGATTAAAACTGTTCGTCAATCGAAAGCTTAAAAAAAAAACTCGGGAACACAAGAGCGACGAGCGAGCGGAGAGCGAGTCAGGAGCAGCGGTGTGGCGGCGAGAAGCAGACGAGCCCGAGGTGTACGTCCGCCCCGCACTGTGGTCCGCGAGCAACTAGCCTGGCTGGGAATAAACAGCTATGCAATAACTTCATCCCAGGCATCCTTACCCTGCTCACCCCCCCTCCTCTCCCCTCCCCGCCCCCTCCGCCTCCCCCGTCTCCACCCCTCCTCTCCCCTCCCCCGACCCCGCAGTTGTTCCCCACCTTCTGTACTCCACACTC